GAATTTTTTGGCAGTGCACATGTCTAGGACACACCCTTTGTGCCATTGCAAAGAAGCAGCCAAACCTCCTCTGAACTGATACTGCTTTCTTGGCTTTCAGCTTCTTAAAAAAGCCCCACTGACTGCACTGGAAATACTTCTTCCACATCTGATTACCAATAAGGGGAAGTTTACAAAAGCACATTTCACACAAAGGCCCGCAGGCCGAGCTGACTTCCCATCACACTGCTGACTCTTTCTTCAGCCTATTTATACTCTAGTAATGATAAAGTCACAAATGAAGTTCACTTTCCATACAAGTGTTAGTAATTCTGGAAGGATGTGAAATCACATGAATTCCAGACGCGGTGTTATGGGAAATCCAGAGAGAACCACATGTAGTATTATGCGTGAGCGGCCTGTGAATTCCATCAGGGACTCTTCCATAGCAGGCCAGACACATACAAAACAAAGCTTTTATCCATGACATCTTACATACCAGTCCTGAGGTCAGTCAAAACATGCACATTCCCTCTACAAATAGGGAAACAGAAATCACCTCATGGAAGCAGAATTCACCGATCACTGACAGAACTCAACAATATCTGAAATATGAGAGCCAAGAAACCAGCCAGCAGGTTTCAACTGATAACGATGGCCATACGCCCTTTATGTTCTCTCTCTACATTATTACACAGGATTTATATAGCGCCAGCAGTTTGTGCAGCGCTTTACAATATAAGGAAGACATTACAATCACAATACCAGACAAGATAGTAAGGAGGGCCCTGCCCGCGAGGGCTTACAATCTAAAAGGGAGGGGCCTGTGATACACGAGGAGGTAGCTGTGTGGGGATGAATTGTTAGAGAAAGTGATAGTTGTGGTTAGGTTGAGGTGGGATAGGCTTCCCTGAAGAGATGAGTCTTTAGGGATCGCCTAAAGGCAGTCAAGGTGGGAGACAAATGGACAGGTTGGGGTAAAGAGTTCCAGAGGATGGGATAGGAGTATCAGTAGATTCCCCCAGAAAACAACTGTTCTCAATGTGCCCCGTTCACACTGTACATGTGCAGTTATGTGCAGAAAAACACAGCTCAACAGACATGGTGTGAACAATGCCTTAGTTACGAGACTTGTCCAACCCTGACCGTAAATGACGCAATGCTACAGGTCTGAGTGTTGCTTGCTAATATGTAGCAATGTAGGTGTACAGTATCAATACAGTTATCACCGTATGAAAAGAGTCGGCAACGTATCAATGACTGATCACTGAACTCTACTATACTACTAAGAAATAGTGACAATGCACATGTGTGCGGCATCCATTGTTTGGCTGAATCAGGAAGTGGGCTGTGGAGGGTTGTTCAAGAAAAGACAGATGGTTCACCACCCATCACACATGGCGACACTGCCTGCCTGCCGAAGGTTAGCCTAACAGTTTGTTCAAATATAGGTGCACATTAGAACAAAGTGCAATTAACCTTTAGGCCCCTTTAAAATGACATCACTGCCCCCCTCCCCATGCACAGATATTTACAGTTTCAATGGGCCCGGCCTCCATAGTTTTTCTTCTGGCCGCGTCTGCACAGCACATTCAATGACTTCTATGGGGCTCTTTTACCTCCGTCTCCCAGCTGGTCAAAGAGTATGTGCTGCGCAGGCACAACCAGGAAAAGGAGAGGTCTGCTGCAGGATGTAAACCATCAGCCGAGGCTGGGCCCATGAGAACTTGGTACGTATTCATCTGTGCATGGAGAAGGATGGGTGAGGTCACCTTAAAGGGGCCTAAAAGTGAACTTTGTTATAAAGCTAGCGGTTTTCGGAACAATAGTGCTCTAGGTAGATCAGTGTTACCCCCACAGCCTCTTCCTTAGTGATTCGAATCAGGGCTCACACACATGTGCACAAACACAGCTATATTTGTGGGTCCCAGGAGCTCCAGCAACTGCATTTTTCTGCCCATATAAATACATAGACAGAAAATGCTATACGTGGGTATGCATGACCCGGCATTTACACGTGCATAAAGTTCCAGAATGTCGACGTTTTGCTTTCGGAAACGTACACCTCTACATGTGTAAACAATGGTACCGGCATTTACACAGGTTCTCATATATATACATTCCTGGACAGAAAAATACACCTGCTGGGGTCCCAGTATTGCAAATACAGGCATTTTTTTATTAAATATGCCCATACACCTGTATTTGTGCATGAGCCCTTGCAGGTCTGGTGTCCCAGGACCAGTTTGGGAAACACAGAAGAAAGTACATTGCCACCATGGCATAACAACAACACGAACTGGTTCAGCAAAAGGACAAGAAATGAATACCCCTCCAGGCCAACACCACAAGGGCTGCATCTTTATTAAAGAGGACCTGAACTCAGTTAATTGTGTTCAAAAAAAAAAAAAAGGCAGGTGTGGGAAACAGAACTAGTCACCAGTATTGCCTGTGGTCTCCCTGCAGCTGAAGATTTCCCCATTTCTGACCCTGTTCTACAATGTGTCACTGTGTAAAGGCGCCATCTTGGTAGAGGCAGGATATTGCTTCCTCACATCAGAGTCTCCAACAAGAACAGTGAGCAGATCAGTAGTGACATCCCCAAATCTCCTTAGACTAAGTCAGTGCCTTAGATATTATACTGCAGATATACAGCTGTGTACCGTAGCTGTATACCAGGACGTGCTCCGCTATCTTTCATGAGGCATTTAAAAAGAGAACTATGAGGTGAGTGAAAAAAAAAAAAATCACTCATCCTCATAGTTCGAGCCGACGTGTGACAATGAAACTCACACGTCAGCTTAATAGATCGGTAAGTGAGCGAACAAAGACCGTCGCCCGTTCACTTCTCGATCATCTACCTGCAGAGAGCAGTGACTGTCAGTCACGGGTCACTGCAGGTATTCCCCCCTCCCCAATCCTCCAGTGCCGAGTGGAGGAACAGACAGGGAAGGGGGCGGGTACAGCTGTCTCTGCGTCTAGATAGGCAGAGCCAGCTGTCACTCACGCAGCTGAGTGGATCTCGACAGCAATGTCAGGATCCATCCCGGCTGCAGCGGTCTCAGTATACCGTGAGGTGTAGCTCGCGGTATACGGAGCTTTGGGTCACGGGAGGAGGTTAGTATATGTCCTCTCGTGACCATTAATAGAACTATGGGGAAAAACCTTTACCCCATAGTTCTCTTTTAAGGCCAAGAAGTAGATTTTTCAGGGCACAACCTAGGCACAATAAATTCCAAATCTTCCCTATAAGATAGCAAACCCTCTTTAAATTTAGGTTCAAATAACCGAAAACTGAAGCAAGCTATGTCCGCTCTTAGCTGTACATTGTGCCATCAATGCAGCAAGGAGACGTGCAGTGCTTTCTAGACAGGATCTTCCCAACACAAGCATGCCGAGTGACTCTCCTCTGACTCCACGCTGAGCTGATGTAGCGTTCCTTAACCAAGCGTCAGGAAAGCAAGCCGAGATGCTCAATTAAGAAAATCTTGGCAGGCAAAACGCCCATCTGAAACCAACCTAAAAATTCATGATTTTATTGGCTTGCCTTACAATGTTTAACCCTGAAATGACCTAACTTGCAGTGCAGATCCCAATCTATGCCCCCCTTTTGTTTCACAGGTTAAAGATCCCATGACTCTGAGGACATGTCCTAAAGCAGCGGTGGACAACTCCAGCCACCCAGCTATTGTGGAACTACAAGTCCCATGAGGCATTGCAAGACTGACAGTTACAGGCATGACTCCCAAAGGGCATGTTGGGATTTGCACTTAAAAGCACAGCTGGAGGGCCGGAGTTGCCCACCCTTATCCTAAGGTGTACCCATGAAAGTACAAATTCTTCAGCCACAGTCTCAGTGAAGCCACGAGTGGTCAACCACCCAGCAAGTGATCACAATCATTTAAAAAGGGATTTTGTAACAGAAGTGAAGCAAAGAAATGCTCCGTCATAAAACCACTGCCCGACGCTGATCACATCTTTGCGCTTTTTTTCTGATGCGTTTTCCATTTAAAACAATGGAAAGGTTTTTATTGCCGTCTGTGTCCCTCTTGGAGAGATTCACGCTCTCTATTTGTCCTGCTGATTGTGAATACCGAAAGTGACAGAAAATCCCAAAACTTGAGTCATCACTAGAACCGAATAGAGGGGAAATCTTCCAATGAGGACACTAGTTCTGGTGACCAGCAGGGATTTTCCTCACTTTGGAAAGATTCTTCTCACTTTCTGTTGTGACTATGGGACAGGAAGTGAAGGTAAATCTCCCCCATGAGACAACGATGGCAAAAAAAACCCAAAAACCTTGAACAGGGGTTACAACCCTCCCTAAAGCTGGCCATAGACTGCCAAGTTTGCTGGTTCTTGTGTTCTGTCCGGACCCCTCGATCAGCCAATGAGCTGCCGGCTCTGTTTGGGTATTCTGTCAGCGACAGGTGGCCATTCTCAGAATACAATGAAGAACGGGAGATTCCTTGATCAACGCTGGTAAGTATTGATGAAGGAATTTGTTATATTTTCTTTGTTCAGCCTGCAGGTTGAACGAAGAAAACATTACAGTGCATAGCCAGCTTTACTCTATCAGGCACCTCAACGGCTGATGGAGCCGTCCTGAACAGGGCGCAACCGCCGGGGGACTTCAGGACTCTTCCACCCCAGAGTCTGCGTGGACGAAGAAGCCCTGGAACCGAAGAGAGGGAACCCCACTGTCTACACAGCAAGGTGACCGGCCAGGAAGAGGACCTGAACACAGAGCCGCACAGAGGGGAGACCCGCGACCACAAGGCCGACCGGTCAGGAGAAAAAAAACAAACGTGACGAGGTTCCTGGACGGTAGGAAACACAAAGAAACTGAGGTATGATGGGGTGGGAGGGTATTTAACTGTTTTTTAATTGTGTTTCCTGTTGGAGGAGCCAATCATCTCCGGTTGCTGGCCTGGTAGATGATTGGAGAAATAGGGTTCATCTCCACCTGAAGAAAATAAAATCTTATCTAGGTTTTGTATAATTTTTGTTTTTTTACTCACCAGTCACCATAGCCAGAAAAAGCAGCAGTAAGGACACCCATCCATGTACAGGCTGCCCGCCCAGTCCCATGACAAACGTGCCTGTTGGGAAACATAATTATTTCAGATGTAAAATCCCAGCTTTGGTCTCACACAGACACACAGACACACACAGACTCTTATTGCTGATCAGAGAAGCGATTTTTCAGATGTCATATTAGCAAAACAATCTATTATTCCCCAAGTGCACCGGAGTTCTGCTTTAAAGCAAACCTGTGCATTGCCAATGCAGGACAGTGAATGGGATGTATTTGCTCCCCCACCCTTCCCCTGGATATACTTACTTTTCCTTTGCTCCTCACATCGAGTACTCGCAGGTATTGAGAAGCACATGACAGAATTAGGCCAATCAGTGTTGTCACACAGGGAGTCTACAGCCCTGCATAAGCTTTAATGCCAGTGATTGGCAGCTTACACAGGGCTTTCCTTTTGCTGCTGGTGGCTGAACAGGTCAATGGGGGGAGTAAAAGGAAGCCAAGTACAATGAAAGTAGCAGGAAATGCATGCGCACTTATTTCGCCAGGCTATCGCCTGTGGAAGTATAACCCAGCGTTCAAGATCTAGTATCCTACTCCTGCAGGTGGCAGAATAACCCAGCAATCAAGATCTAGTGTTCTACTCCTGCAGGTGGCTGTATGACCCTGTGATCAAGAACTAGTGTTCTACTCTTGTAGGTGGAAGTGTAACCAGCAATTGAGATTGGGTATCCTACTCCTGCAGGTGGCAAAATTCTACAGCGGTCAAGATCTAGTGTCCTGCTCCTGTAGGTGGCAGAATAACCTAGTGATCAAGATCTATTGTCCTACTCCTGTAGGTGGCCACATAACCCTGTGATCAAGATCTAGTGTCCTACTCTTGTAGGTGGCTGCATAATCCAGCACTCAGGATCTAGTTACTACTCCTGCAGTTGGCAGTATAACCCGGCAGTCAAGATCAAGTGTCTCTTCCCAGTGGTTAAGATCACTGGGAGTGGTACAGCTTTTTGCTGTGTCCTTCAATGAACTGAAGAGAAAAAAAACAAATAAAAAGGTAAAATGCGGCTTTCAACTAATAAAGGGCAAATTCATCAAAAATAAGATGACCGTTCCACAAGATGTTCACATGATGTTTGTGAAGTGAACTTTTGTAGGGGAAGATTATCCGGAGTTATTGCAGTGCAGGCAGTCTGTCGTACAGAGATATCCCTTTGTAAATAAGCCTGTGAAACTTACGATGGTAGTAGTACTAAAAAAGAACCAAAACCCACATGCTGGCATTGCCAGGGAAACGGGGAAGTTTGAAGGATCTGGGCGGCAGAGGTTCTGCATGAAGACGGAGCTCCGGAGGGGGAACAATGGGGCACTATGTGGCCCTGCCAGCACAGCTGTAAACAGCTGGATCCAATTCAGACTGGCAGCGCAGGGTTAAACCACAGGGCTCCATTTACAATGTCCACACCGCGCTCGGAGGGATTCTGCAAACTAAAACTGCACAAGGTTTCACAAAGGAGCCGCATTTTAAGTGCCATGAAACCCTCCACATCATATCTGTATAGCAGAGGACAGTGCACGGTCAGAGACCTGCATTAGGGCGCTCCTATAAGCGCAGGCACCATCTTGCTTTGCGCCGTTTCATCGCACTTCTGGCCAGGGAGTGTGCAATGATAACAGTACAGAACAGGGGTAGGCAACCTTGACATGGCAGCTGTGGAGAAACTACAAATACCATCATGCTTGTGGCTGTCAGTCTTGCTAGGCCTCATGGGACTTTTAGTTCCTCAACAGCTGGAATACCGAGGTTGCCTATCCCTGATATTGAACATCCTTTGATCCTCCTCTGTTGGGACTACATATCCCATGATGCCAAGCGCTAGTGGCCAGTCTGGTCCTCTCTTGCTGCCTGTGCATGTCAGCACAGGGAGCGTCCAGACGCTGGCTTGCGGTCTCTCTCCCGGGGTTGCACGCGCGAGGGTGGCTCCATAGGACCCTGCAAAGCAGGGCTGTAGCTACCATGGGGCAAGAGAGGCACTTGCCTCAGGCGCGGCCTGGCTGTGCCCCCCTCGTCCTTGTTGCCATGGTGAGCACAGGGCGCCATTGGTAACATGGGTGCCAGAAGGCTAGTCTGTTTAGACCTCTGATATTTCCCCGAAGCCCCCCCAACAGTAAAATAAATAAAAACAACAACACACACACACGTGCACAAAGACTATACATTTGTTTTGGACGAAATGAACGGAAGCTAACACTTTTTTCATTATTTTCGTCAAACAAAAACACATTTTTATGCTATTTTGGATTTGGCCACCAGCGTGCTCTGCGCATGCGCGTCGCCATCCTGGATGCGGGGCGCAGGATGTCACATACCGCACACATCTGTTGGGGGGGGGCACAATTTTCTGTTCTTGCCTCGGGCGCAGAAGGCGCTAGCTACAGCTCTGCTGCAAAGCAACAGAACCACCAGAGAAGAGGAAACCTCGCTGGGGATCCTTGAAGGTGGAAGGAAAGCGTTTGGGAGAAGTGCTGTGAACCGCACACACATCCAGGCAGCACACGTATCAGCTATGAACCGCACACACATCCAGGCAGCACACGTATCAGCTATGAACCGCACACACATCCAGGCAGCACACGTATCAGCTATGAACCGCACACACATCCAGGCAGCACACGCAGATCAGCTATGAACCGCACACACATCCAGGCAGCACACGCAGATCAGCTATGAACCGCACACACATCCAGGCAGCACACGCGGATCAGCTATGAACCGCACACACATCCAGGCAGCACGCGGATCAGCTATGAACCGCACACACATCCAGGCAGCACAACAATCAGATATAAACCGCACACACTTCCACGCAGCATAACGATCAGATATAAACCGCACACACATCCAGACAGCATAACGATCAGATATAAACCGCACACACATCCAGAACATCCAGACAGCATATAGATCAGATATAAACCGCACACACTCCCAGGCAGCACAAGGATCAGATATAACCCGTACACACTTCCAGGCAGCACAAGGATCAGATATAAAACTGCACACACTTCCAAGCAGCACAACGATCATATTTAAACCGCACACACTTCCAGGCAGCACAATGTATGTAGGAGTGAGAGGAGTAGGGAGTGATAAGGACTCTATGTACACAGACCACACGCGTGGATAATCAATGAGAGTAAATAATAACAGGGAAAGGAAACCACCTCGGATCATACTGGAAATATAACATGAAATGACACTCTGATTGTTGTTGTCGGATAGATGAATTATGTGAGAAGTCGGAGTATCATGTCAGTTTGATAATTACTATGTGCTCCCAGATCCTTTTTTATTATTATGGGGAAAATGTGACTGATCACGGGTCTCTAACCCATGGGGTCCTACATACAATGGGAGGGGGGTATTTATCAAATCTGGAGCAGTTACCCATAGTAATTAATCAGCTTCTCTCTTCAGTCTACTCAGTTAAGCACTGAAAATGAAAGAGAGAAGCTGATTGGTTGCTATGGGCAGCGGCTCCAGATTTGATAAACAAAATTGATTGGATGGTCTATACTCACACAGGCACCATGGGGTTAAGCCCAAGGTGTTCTCAGAAGCAAACAGGAAACAAAGGGTTA